ATGGTTCCTGCAAATCGCCATCGTCGGTAATATGGACCGGTGGACAGCGCTTGGACCCACAACGTGTGAACTGTTCGTAAAGGGGTTTGAAGTCCAATATGTGCAACGAGGGGAATATCAGAAGAGAGGTTATGTGTGAGTATGGGATATGTTTTACAATTGGCCATTAACCTATCGAAGCTCGGTGTTGCTCCTATTGCCGACAAAATGCGCTAAGCTCGTCTTCTGTGGTTCGTAGAGTCACGTCCTTAGCGTGAAGCATGGCCGTGTACGAGAGTAAGACCTGGGGTCGTGTGCAGCAGTACCCGGCCGATAAAACCCCGGAAATCTGCCCCTTTGAACGCCCCCCCCCCTATTCTTGACCATAGGAATTGCGCTATCGACCGGAGTAGACACGCAGAGTTTTGGGGATGAATCCCCGGCCGGGTACTGCTGCGCACGGCCTCACCTTTGATCGTGACGTAACCGAAAAGTGGACTATGGGACGCTCGAAGTAGCTTTGGGCTGATACGTTCCAAGTAACTTAGAATCAAATGGTTTTTAGCGAAAGAATTACTCCTCTGCTGCGCATTGCCACACACAATTCGTCGAGGTACCAGTTTTTGAGAGAAAATTCCGGAATGTTCCTCAGCAGTGAAAAGTGAAAAACATCCCATGGTCCCCAAAACATTGCGTCATACTTCCTTATCGGCAGACTCAAGGAGGCACAGTAATTGTTTCCGATCAAAGTAGCTACGTGATTCCCTCGATTGAGTTACTCGAAGGCGTCTCCCCGTGACTCTAGTTGCAAGACCCGTGCCACACTGCGGGTCGGACTACGCGATGATTCACCATCTGTCTTTCATGATCCGAGCTAATGGTCAAACGCCCTGAGAATATCTGCACATCACTTCAACGGCATTCGAAGAATTGAGAATTCCAGCAAGAGTCCAAAGTAAAGGTCCACCAAATTAATTGCCGGCTAAGAGCGACGTAAACGTTAATGGGGATTACTTTTTATTCGCTCTATTATTCGTTATTTTTTAGCTGTATCTATTTTTAGCATCATGCAAATGGAGTTTTTGGATATTTGCAATGCAAATAAAGTCGGAAACAAAACTGTAGAGCCTTTATCCGCAGCCCGAGCCGACTACACTGGGTTTTCCTTTCGACATGGTTGAGTTGAGCCGAACAAGCG